GGGAGTTGAAGTCCACACATCTTCAAGCTGCCATGGTTGAGAAACACTGGTATAGAGAAATAATGAGCACTGGGAGAGAAAAAGGCACATGACAACTGGGTCTTCTAGCCCAAGAACTATCTGGTAGCTCATTCCTAGCAGGACTATTCTCTGCTGCCTGGTGAAATACTAGCTATCATTTTACAGTGCATATACCATTGTATGCTGCTGTCAGTAAACAAACTTTTACAGCACAATTTTATGTCTATATTTTTAGAGATAGGCCCCACTGGTTTCAATTAAGCTTTCTTCTAAATAGATGTCCCCCAGGTTCCAGCCAACTCTAGTGGTGGCACATAAAGGAGGATCAAACATATGTAGTTTGTATAACTTTACTTGGGTGTCTGTGTATCAGTCCCAGAAGTGTGAATTATATTACTTAACAATGTGATCCAGAAGAAACAAAATGTTTATCAGTCTCTCTGAGAAAAACAGAAATAAGAAAAACAAAACAGGTAATAACTGTAAACTCAGAAATAAAGGGTCATGAAAAAGATCTTGTTCAGGAAAACAATGCAATCATGCTTTTTTCAAGTAGTTCAGTGTCAACTAGTAGGATCTTTTTTGTACCCAGACCTTCTGCATTTGTATGCCTTTATTTAAGCTTGGAGTGATTCTCTGAAAAAGTCCCATCCAAATACTAACCCTACTTAGTTTTCTCAAGATCATCTAGGATGGCTAGTACAGATATTAGAAGTGGATGAAAGGAAAGTTTGGAGAAAGTTTGATGGTAGCTGGCTGAGTGACTGTAAGGTATCTGGGATGAATCTATCTATCTATCTATCTATCTATCTATCTATCTATCTATCTATCTATCTATCTACCTATCATCTATCTATCTGTCAAATGCATATGGCTGCCCCTCTCACAAAATGTGACTCTGGGCGCCATACAACAAGAATATAAAACAATAAACATATCAAAAACAGTCATTATTAAAAAGTTTTCAAAAATCATAAGGCATACAAAGAGATTAGATGTCTGGACTTCAGCTCCCAGAATTCCCAGCCATGCTCAAGGAGATGTTTGAAAAGGGAAGAATCCGAAGTCTTCAGCGTTCACTCCTTTAAAAGACAAATCATGCCTGAGTCATTATGATATGCAATTAAACATTATTCTGCGTTACTGGATTTCAGGTATTTTTTTAAAACTCCCTAAAGAAATTCTCCAGTTGTTATACAGAATTTTTCCTTACGTTTGTAGTTGATATGCAAAGTTTCCTAATACACACATGCTTGTATGCAACAGTCCCAAATGGTCTTTTTATTGGAACACAATTTCCCTAAATGTACACTTTTTTTCATGTGACTTCACAAATTTCATATACATTTATTTAGATGATTTATAGTAGGGATGCCCAAATCAGCTTCCATATTTTTTAAAAACATAAAAACAGAAACTAGTAAGAAAACATCATAATGCAGAATAAGGCAGGGCAAATTATTTTGAGAAACATTTTAAGAAGAGCATTGCTGGACTTTGTGAATTATACCCTGTTGATTTTACAACAGATTCTGCTTAGGCAGAAGTATTATTTCATTAGGGGAAAAATGTCTGCAATAAATTTTGCTGAATTCCTCAATAAAGGACTGTCTATCAGTACAAACACAAACCATATATTGTTTCATGCCTCCATTACGCTTCCTTGTTCTTCTGTTCTCCATTTTCCAACATTTTAATTTTTGATAGTCTTTCAGTTGTCTCAAGTTTTGCATTTGTCCCTCATAATATGTGGCCTTAGTTCTACAGCGGAGCACTTGGGTTTTATATAGAAGGCTCCTTGTATAGTCCTTGTATGAACAGAGGGAACAGATCCATGAGGGAAAGCATGCTGTGTGTGTGTGTGTGTGTGTGTGTGTGTGAAACTGATGACAGCAGTGTTGCAGCATCACAATGTAAGCCCAAGCCCTTTTCTACATGCATCACAACATTTGTGACTGACCCAAAGAGGTAGAGCGTGTGGTGCAAGACCACAACACTGCTTTCCTCCTTCTGATAAAGGCAACAGAAGCCTGTGAATGCCACGGAGCGGTAGTAAGTGGTGGAGAAATTCTCCACTGAGGTCCTGGGAGCTGTCAACAGACAGAGTAGTCACAATGAACAAATAAACTTAATGATAAGTGAGTTATTATTAGGGCAAGCAGGTATTTGGGAAGGCTTGGAGCACTCATGTAGGACCTGACAGCAACTCCTTAAAGCAGTTGTGACTTTCCTCTGGATTGTGGTCCCCCTCCACAACTGCAGCCTCATTCTACAGAAGGTCCATGTGGTTTAAGGAGTGGCAGAAGATGCTGGGTGTGCAATCCAAAGTATCTTTTTGCCTTTGAATGCAAAGCGTTCTTCTGTTTAATTTCCTGTGTTCTGTTTGAATAAACTAGAAAAATTGTGCATTTACTTCAAGGGGTGTATGAAGTGGGGGGGGGGAGGGAGAGTGAGAGAGAGGTAGACACCCTTTTAACTGGTAAAAGAGCTGACTGTAAGACTTTGGCTCTGTATTTCTGTGAGCCATTTTAATTACTCTGTGCTTCATTTCTCCCTCTTCTGCTTTAAACAAGTGATCAATTATGAGGTCTGCATTGTTACTGGTGATGTGCGGAACGCAGGCACCAATGCCAATGTCTTCATCCAGTTTTATGGTGAGCTGGGTAAAACGGAGGTACTGATTTTGAAGAACAGGTCCAACAACTATGAGCGGGGAGCCACAGAAAAATTCAAGGTATGCTGCTGTTAGAATAGCAGGAGGTTCTTACAGCAGGGCGATTCTAATATCCATCCACAAAGATCCTGCGAAACTAAACATTGGACTTGCTACAAAGCTTGGACATTAGGTGCAATGTCTTCAGAAATCTGTTCCTTTGACATTGTCTTTGCCTGTATATGCTACCCAAATTGTCATTCTTTATTTGCTCATTTTTTATGGACCCCTCAGGTGACCTAGTCATCATCATTAAAAGATGGCATGGCCCTTCTTTTGTTCTTCTGGGATTCCCTTTTATTTGTTTGGGAACACATTAATTTCAGCATTTATTCTTGTAAGTTTTTTTAAAACCAGAAATGGAGTGGAATCCCCGTTGGTGTCAATTATCTTACCACAACTATTTTGTTGCTTAGGCTTCCGCTATTACATGGTCTCAAGGGGGACGCGGTGGCGCAGCGGCTTAATGACGCTGAAAGTTGCTGGCCAGAAATGGTCGACACTTCAGCGGTTC